CTTCAAGGACAGGACTTTGCAAGGGAGCCCAGGAAGCCCACAGGGCCAAGCCCGTCCCCCCACCTCAATCATTAGAGACGGACGAGTAACACCTGGTCATGCTTGCATCTCATCTGGTCACCCTTTAGTACTTTATAATAAGGGTGACCAACCATTCCAGTTTGCCCAGAGTTAAGGATCCCTGGGGGGTTATTGATCACGCACTGGGCTGCCATCCACATGATTGGCAGTTGGGAACCGCCAGCTGCTCTGAGGGCAAAGGACACGGCTTTCTACTCCCGTCAATGGTTAGTCTCGGAAACCCACAGGGCCCGTTTTACCCTGTCCTATGGGGTCGCTATGAGTTGGCATCGTTTAGTCGTTTGGGTTAAGGGTCTCCCAGGCGATGGGAATTTCCGTTTTAAAGCGTTGGGCAACGTCCCGGGATGAGTAGATGACCCTCCTTACAAGCGGTGCCTTTGTTCTTCCAGGAGAAGAGGAGGAGGAGGAGCCTGAGATGCCCGTGGGCCCTCGGCCCCGCCCTCTGTCTGAGCTGCACCTGAAGGAAAAGGCAGTGCCCATGCCCGAAGCCAGCGCGTTTTTCATCTTCAGCCCCAGCAACAGGTGTGCAGGAGCAGCGGGGAGCCGGTCTCTGCCCCGTGGATGATTGAAGCTGGCGGGCACCTGTGGTTTTTTTACCTGAACCTCTGGCCGGAGCCAGGGCCCTCTCGTCCAGCTCCCCACCACTTTCACAAACAGGCACTGATTGAGGGAAAGGGATCCTGAGTTCTGAATCCGAAGGCCCTGCCATGTCTCTCCCCAGTTTTGTGGAATCTGTACATTCTCTTTCAGTTCTTTTCGTTGTTACCCTTATTTTTATTTTTTTTCATTGTGGGAAAGTACCAGGAAGCTTCAAAATAAGGTGTGGGAAAATTCCGTGATCTTTTCATTCCATTTTCCCACGATTTTTAAAGCGGCCTCCTATACATAACATAAATGTTGCCACTCTTAGGTGTGTGATTCGGTGGCATTCATCACAGTCATAATGTTTACAGTCATCACCACTGTTTCTCAAACGACTTCTTGGTATTTAGCTTAATAAACTCTAAAGTTAAACAATTTGTTAAATCACCTTCTGTTGAGTAGAAGGACCATAGAACAGTTTATCTCCATTTACCCCCTCCTGCCTTAGAGGATATTGATTAATATTTTTATCCTGATCTTTATTTTTAACCCAGGGAATTAGACATTTAAAAAATTATTTTACGTGTGCATTTGGATCTACTGATGATTTACCGCTTTACTTGTTCGACCTTTTTTCATGCATCTCATCCTTTCATCTGCAATTATTTCCTTTCTTCCTCGACAGCACATTCTAATGACTTTTGTCTGTCCATGATTATTTTTATTTCTTTGTCTTGAATGATCGTTTTGCTTGGGTACAAGATTTAGGCTGCCACATTTTCCACCTCAAAGCACTCAGAGTCTGCCACCTCTTGCTGCTTTTAAGTTTCTCTTGCCTTTGGAAGGAGCTTTGGTGCCCCAGTGGGTTAAGCATTCGGTCTGTCTGCTATGGAATCCACCTGCTCCCTTACAGATTTACAGCCCGGAAACCCTGCGGGGCACTTCTGCCCTGTCCTGCAGGGTTGTAGTGAGTCAGAATCGACTTGTTAGCAATGGGTTTGGGTTTTGTGGCCTTTGAGTGCTGTCCAGGTGTATCCCATATGTGGAAGCACGGAGTTCTTCCCCTTTGCCGTGTGTGAAACATGCTATGCTTCCCAAGTCTAAGGATTCGTGTTTTTCTCCATTCTTGAAACTGTGTTGCCATAATCCCTTTAAATATTGTCTCCTCTCAGTTTCTTTTCCATCCTCCTGGTACTCCAGACCATGTATTGGGTCTTCTCGTTCCTCTCTCTCTCTCTCTCTCTCTCAAACTGTAATTTGGGTGAGTTTCCAGAGCAAGCTGGTTCCCTTTTAACAATTAGTACACAGTTTGTTTTGCGATCTTGACCGCATTTCCCCCACTTCCCCTCGTTCTGGTCCTTTCCTGACTTCTCGGTTTTGCTGCTGGGCAGATGCTGCCCTTTCGCTCTCTTGTGGTTGGTAGCTCTAATGAGTGCTTTCCTCCTCGGTGTGATCGATCGTTC